AACAAAAGAGAAAGGGTAGAGGTGACTCTTGAAGTCATACTTCAAGTTGTTTTAAGGAAAGTATTAAGACTTTATTAATAAGAAGTATAAAAACTTCTTGTGAACATCTTTTTTGTGTGTGGTCAGAGGATCAGTGGAAAGAGTTTAATATTTTTTTTCCACAATAGTGATTCTAGTTCATTGAATAACTTAAATAAAATTATAAAGTTTGATTAGATATACAATAGTAATAATCTATTGGCAATGATATAGTAAACTAGGAGAATTTTTATCTAAAGACACTGTGAAATGAAATATCGTTCTCAAAGTAATAATAAATTCCTAAAGTATTTAGTATATAAAATTTTACAGATCACTTATATCCCTTTTTGAGGAACAAAATTCATAACTTTTCATTTTAATAGGGACAAAAGTTAGAAAATACTATAAATCAATGATTTAAATAATAAAGAACAATTATAGATATTTTTTTTATAATTATTAATTTAAAAATTTTAATGTTTCCTAGTAAGGAACATTTGATTTTTATTCCTGCCTCCCCTTTAGGAACCTATCTTTAACCCAAGATTGAACTTAGAGACTTTTATAATTATAATGAGTTAGTTATATTAGAATAATAGTTTAATTATAATATATATTATATTGCTCAAATAAAAATATACTTATGTTTTTAATTAATTAATAAACTAATGATTTAGTTTAGCTATGGATATTAAAAAAAAAAAAATAATAAGCAGTTTAGCTTGTTTACACATAATACAAAAAAAAAAAAAGTTTAATTTTTGAAATTCTAAAAATAATATAAATATTAAATGTTTAAATTTATATTTTTATATAATATATTTCCACATAATTATTCCAAATCCATTTGAGGCACAACAAGCCTTAATAGATCTAACTAGAATAGTAAATAGCTATATAAATGAATATATAAAATATCAAATGAGCATTTTCTCACTTTTATCTTTTCATACGACAACTAGCATGACTTCAGCATGTTAGTGTCTTCTCTCAGGGAAGGGCAACAGGCCACGAGGTAGTACATAGCTTATTAGGTTTTACTATTACTGAATATACATTCCTGTACCATAGTCATAAATACTTTCTACATATATAATTTGGAAAAAATAATAAAAAAAAAAAAAAATTTTTTTTATACAATATATACAATTATTATTAAAAATAATATAATTTATTACAAATTATATAATTAAATATTTTGAAATTTCATTTTTTTCTTAAAAAGTAAAAATATGCCATTTTTTCATACTTCAATAATTACTATAAAAAAAAGAAAAAATAATTGTTTATATTAATATATGAATGTGCAAAAAAGTTGTACAAAAAAATGAAATATTATTCTATGACAATAGCATGGTTTTTTGCCAAATAACAGATTTTTATAAAACAAAAAAAAGATACTTTTAGAAAAAAATATGAGAAACTGGTGTAAAACTAAAGATCGGAAAGCAATTAAAGTATGATGTTACACAGGTGAAAAATATAGTCCTGAATGTTTAGCATTAAAGTAGAAGCATATATTCAAGATAAAGACTTATATCATTCCACAATGTAACATATTTATTATTGGGCCCTAGTGTTATATTTCAACATGACAATGTGCAAAAATTGAAACTATGACCTAAACCCATGGAGGCTATTGAAAATTTTCCGCGAACTAAAGATGAGCTGTACTCGACAATTAGGTCATTTCAGGCAAATTTAAATTACCGCATGCATAACATGTATGCAATATAATGTCACATGGGTTAATTGATTTGGTAGATTGGAAAACAATATTTTTTTTTTATAAACCAGGCCCGAAACAAAGCAATCACCTTCGCTGAGATTGATATGGAAAATGCAGACAGCCTGGTTCTCTCCGACGATCCCCAGCATCCAGCAAACCTAATACCCGAGATATGTAGGTTATTTTACAAGCTGGGTTGGGTCACCGGAACGGGGTGAGGACCGTGGTTCAGAAATAGTTGTGTTTGGGGGGGAGAGGCGATATTGTTCTCTCAAATGTTTAACTTGGCTCGCTCTTCTTTTCACATGGAACAGAGGCGGAATTTCTATTCGCAAAGAGTAAGTCGTGGATTGGCGTCGCCACGACGTTCGCGAATTCACAATTCACGCATACGACTTTCACCTTTGAATTTTTTTTCAGCGACCATGTCTACATCGCACCTTCGGGTAAGACATTGTTCGCAACTTTTACGCGCACATATCGATAACACCATTTCACAAGAGCTTCATGCAAATACAGGCGTCCAAAAAGAACGGATGCAGCCCCTCGACATATTTGTTCTAACCTTGAGCACGCGCCAGATACTTCGAGCACCACGAGCACACAAATATTCCGCGTGCACACCGCTATTCTACAATGCTTATACGATGCGTGGTGCAGGTGCTTGTATACACACGCACTCGCAAAATGCGGTGATGGTTACACTGTTGTATCCCGGCGGAGAGTTTGTGATCACTCATCAGGAAATGATCAAGGGAATTAGACGTGGGAGCGGAACGCAGAATCTACGTTACGATGATACCTTGGTGGTTCCCATCATAGAAAATACACCATTCGAGGAAGACCTAGCCGAAGGAATGGCGAAGGTAGACCAAAAGAGTGGATGTGAAAACGCATTTTTTAAAGAATTAACCAACTCATCATTCTTTCTTCGTTCCAAGATCATTGAAGATTATCCGGATACCAATGCAGTTCTTGTTCGTCGTCATGGTGTTTACGTTTGGGGAGGTATTTATACTTGATTTTATTGAGTGATTCTTTCTTCGTCTATTATCAAGGAATTGTCAAACACCTTTTTTTTTATTCGTCTCCTTGACAACTCAGAAACATGGGAAAAAGCAAAGACAATGTCCGAGTGTTACGATTATTTATTCGAAATTGCAATCAAGATGAGAAGCTTCGGATTGGATCCCGCAGCGAAACCTGATGCTAAATTACAAATTTAAATAGTTACATGCCGAGCCTAAAATGTCATTAACTTTTGTACATGTAATAAATATATATTCTGACTCATAATTGTGATGTGAAAGTTTAATGGTATAAAGTGGAGTTATTGAGTTCAAAATGAAACATCGTGATTATTGTGTTGGTGGTTTAATCGACGGGGCTCACACTGTCCCCAACACTTTCTCGATCCAAGCCATCCTTGGTGTTTCCGCAATCGCCGCTCTCACCACTGTCCTTCACTTCCTTGCCGACACAACCTGTCTCGATGCCATTGATATTTTGCTGTTTCTGCTTTTTTTCCCGAATTCTTTCCTTTAATTTCACTTTCAATTTCTCCTTAAGTTTCTCCTTTACTCGTTGTCTCAGATTGTTTAGTCTGACCTGCGGGCTGTCTCCCGTGTTCCACGTCTCGTTTCCCCGCTCATCGATGCTGAGTATAGGAGTGCCAAATTGTTCAAGAATGAATGACGCACTGACTGACCCGTATAATGCAGCTTCGAAGACGTCAAAGTTTGACTTTAGTAAACCCGCCATGAAACCTCCGCAAAAGGAATTGCCAGCCCCAGTGACATCGACCACGTGTGGATTTCGGCTTCCGTCTTTGGATGACGTCCAATAGGCTGGTATTATCTCTTTCTTCTCTCTTGTACCAACGATACAACCCCTGTGAGAAGCGCGAATGATGACGCACCCGCTTCCATTTCGCCCAATCGGATAGGCCAAAAACTTATCGGCCATGAGCATCAACATCTCGTCGGTCAGGAATTTCTCGTCTTCCTCGTCGTCCGCGCCCGTGACCAACCCCAACAGAGCAGCAGCTTCCTCATGATTTGGTGACACGACATCCACCATCCTCATTGCTTCCACGCAAGATTGCATGTTTTCTGCGGACGCAAAGTCCGGTACCGGTTCCCACACGAAGACCGGTGGTGAAATAGAATTTTTGTCGCGTAATCGTAATATCTCTGTGACAAAGTGTGTGGCCCGAGTCGCCGAACAAATGAAGTGAAATACCTTTGCGTTCAAATATGAACTCGGCAAATCCGTTGGCATGGTCCCTATGGGCGGAGTTTGATAGACGAAACTGCGCTGATCCCTTGTTTTAAAAGTATTCAATCCACGAATTGATGGCAGATAAGAGTGCCATATTTGAGTCAAAGAAATGTTGAGAGACAACAACTTTTGCAAAATGTGCATCGGGAAGTCGTAGCCGGCGTGAAATGCGTATCCGATTCTGTGAGACTCTTGCGATGAAAACCAGATCCTCATCCCTTGTGTCAAACGTTCACGTTATTAAACAAAGATGCAAGGTTAATCTTTTGTTACGTCGAGTGGACAGGAGAGCAACATGAGAAAGAACAAAGGAAATAGAATCGATAGGAAAGCTGTGATCGGTACCGTAGATTGCGTAGACGCCACCACCGCCCAGGACATCTCCTTGCACGGTCCCATCTAATTTAATTTGTCGACAAAGTTCAATAAAATGATGTTACTCCGACACTTATATGCATAAACCAAGAATTACCTTTTTGCTCAAAACCAAGAGTTACCTGAAAATCTTATCTCGTCAATTATGCATTGACTTAAGGAGCACAGTAAAGGGTCACACATTAAGAAGGTTCAGGGACAAGAAATTTGTTGGGGGTGCGGAGAGAATTAAAGTGTGTAAGATAATGGGATGGGTGCTGAGTCGATTTTTATACTCTCTCGAGGTGATCATTTAAGAATATCGCCTGTGTCACATGGTGCCCATCCAATACATCGTGTATACACATGCACCATATCGACAATTGCATTTTTAGATAGTACTTTCCGGCACCTGGGAAAAAGCGAGGATGGAGTCAACTCCCGGATCCATGAATTCGATGCCTTGACAGATGCGCTGTTTTCCATTTAAGGTTAACGGTATTCTTCACTTTTGATTTCGACGGCGACATTTATGGCGAAGTTCGGGTTTAGGATACCGACGGCATCGACAGAATACGACCAATGGAATCTTTGACCGAGTAGATCATCGAATTCTGCTGGAAAGCGTCAAACAGATCTTCACATTGTTAGGGGGCAGGTCGATATCGTTTTCCTGCCTAATGTTGCGCGCGCACACACGTGCACATACACTCGGTAGAACGACGGTGAGTGATTGAATTGCTGGGCTGGGCGTAATCAATTATCCGATTCAACAAGTTTTCCACTAACTTTCTTCTGCCGAGAGTGTATGTACTGTACGTACCACACCCTTCTCTCATTGTAATTGCATGTGACACGTGCTCTTCGTCGAAATCTGTCTAAATATGTCATTAAATGTATTTAATCAATTTGACAGCGTATTACGTAGTACTAATCAAGACTGTATTTAAAATGGGTGGAGAATTGATTCTTCCCCAGATTTTCTTAATCATCGGCGAAGAATGGCACAGGTGACCGGCGAGGGTTCTTCCCTTCTTTCAAGGATCAGGTAAATTCATCAAGTCAAAGTCAGACCCATAAAAAAAAAAAAAAGAAGAAAAAGAATTGATCCTCAGTTAATTTCGGACGACACAGTGTTGCATACGGAACAATTGGCAGCGATGGAACCAGGAAACCTAGACTTTTGGCATTAGATTTATTCCGTGGATTTTTGATGGTTTTGCAATCGATCGATCGTACGTGTTTGCGTTGTGATTCTTTTTTTTGATGGTCACCTAGATCGATAAAAGCACAGTTCATAAACATTTTTTTTTTTTTTTTTTTTGACGTGATTTATTTAGACGCTCGAATAGGTCATGATCTAGCAGGTTGTTTACTATAAAGATATTCATCCTTCGGTCATTTTTCGGCCAGTTTTCCCCATTCTAAAGTTCTGATAAACATAGTGCACGAGGAGTGGTATTCTCAACCGGTGTTCAAAGATCCAATACCGGTGCTCACCAGGGTGGTCACGCATCAGGCCGCTCCAGGTTTCGCATTCATGATGGGCATGGGGATCGTTTTGTTCGCGCAGTCTCGAATGAGGCTCGGGTGGTCGCGGAAAAAGTTGGTCCGGCATTTCTTCATTAGAGGATTGGTCTTGATAATTTTTAATGCCTACCATTCAATCCTATTTACCATCATTTTGCTCAAGAGTAAGACGACCTAATTTGATTTATTGTTTGCATAATTTCATTTGGTTCTCGTTAAATCCTTCTTTTTTTTTTTTTCTTAAAAAAAAAAAAAAAAAAAGGAATTAGTTTCGTGTCTTCGGTGTTATTTGCACTTGGTGTAAATTATATCATTGGAGGAATTATCTTTATCGCGGGAACGAAAGTATACCTGAAATCACTGGAATTTTTTGAAAAACGCGGGGAGGATCGCCCTGTCGCGGAGAAGAATGCCCATCGAGTGCGTAATTTCTTGCTGTTGTCAATGGTAATCGGACTTTTGGTCGGCAATGTTTTGCAAACTCCGAAGGCGGACACTTATAATAAAGTGGATTATGGTTTTTGGCGGTATGTTTTGCTATTGCCGGGTGAGTGAATGATTAAGATTTATAGGTGATTTCCTCTCTTTTTCTTCTCTAATCGAATTACCCTTTTAAGGTCAATACAAGTTTGTTTTCTCTATTTATCCGCCTCTCAACTGGTTGTCTTTTACTTTGTATGGAATTCTATGGTGTCACATGATATTGAGGCGGATGAACGACAAGAAATACAATGTTCGCCTCAACTTGGTATGTGACGCGCCGACACCGAATTACAAAAATTCAATTATTTAAAATGATTTAAACTTGCAGAGTGTCGCATCTACGCTGTTTCTACTATTCCTAATGATTCGAATTCCCGGAAAATTTGGTAACATCAATCCTGATCTACTACCTCCGCCACCTGAGGGCACGCCGTTCAACAATCCTTACCTCACGAGTTGGATGCAATTTATAAATGCCATCAAGTACCCACCTGACCTGGCATTCGCTACACTTTACATGGGACTCGATCACCTCGCGTTCGCCGGCTTCTACATTCTTCCCACCACCGCCACTTCAAAAGTTTTCAGATATCTGTTAAAATTGATTGTAGATCCACTAGTTACCTTCGGTCAGAGTGCGCTATTCTTTTACATGATTCATTTTCACGTGTACCAAGTGATAGGACCTTTGTTCTTGGCATGCATTCCGGGATGCAAACTGAGAGTTCGCGAGGGATGGTTTTGGATTTATTGGATGGTCGGATTGACGATTTGTAGGGTGTTGTGTTCTAAATACGCTGAATTCAAAGCGCGTAAGGGGCCAGACTCAATTTGGAGATTTCTGTAGGTGGTAGGCCGCAAACAGAAAAAAAAAAATCACGGATTTTACCTAATTTAACTTCACAAGCAAACTTTGCTCTCCACGGTAAAATATGAAATTGGAATCTCGTCAAAGGTTTATTATTTTACTGTTAATAAATCGACTTGGGTGTTTTCATCTCGATGAAGAGTTTACCTGGTGTTATTCTTTTTTTTCCCGCAAAAAAAAAAAAAAAAAAAAATATATATATATATATACTGTATATATATAATCGCGTCAACAATTTGTGATAAATTTAAAATAAAATATATTTCGAAATTATTTGAGACTTGATCAAAATTCCTTTTCAATTGACTGAAGGATGACTTGAAAATTTTGTTTATATTGTATCAATAGCTTTATTTTCAAAAAGCGATACAATTTTTCTTTCTTTAAAGTAAAATGATGAAAAATGCGAAAAGAGAGATATACAGTATATATTTTTTTCGTTTGATATGTACAATACCCACTTCATAGTGGCCATTGAAGGGTAATAACATTCGGGTGTCGGTTTTGCTCGACCGTGTGTTTTAGCATAACGCCAAGTGATGGTCACTTGATGCTCCAACTGTGCTAATATTGGGGACGCATTTTAAATAATAACCTGGATTTGACCAATAACAGGTTATTTTGTTCGGATCGAGAGAGTTCACATCTGACGAGTAAATGGCAGCATGATATTAATAATAGGAATTGAAAAACGCGTGGCGTTAAAGTGACCTTGGAATGAAACTTACCACCTTCCACAAATTCACTTGGCTTGGAAAACAACGACACCTTATGCGGCTTGATTATCACCTTTTTGCGAATGGCATCGAGATGGACTAGCTCGTCCAAAACATCCTCAATCTCGCAACGTGACATAACCAAGGATAGTTTGCGGCAAATGTTGGACTATCGTTTGAAAGAGGGATAAATGTAAATGGGAATGCATTGAGTTTAAGATAAATGCTATTCTGTAAATACCTGATAGATTCCCGGCTTCTGAACAATGGTTCCGAGTACAACTTCGAGGCACCCGCGGAAGACCGACTCGATGAAATTTCCATTGATGTCATACCACATTCGAGTGGGGGCATATGATTCGTTGAATTCGGAAGATGCCTTTTCCGACTTTAAGAATCCAAACGGCCGACGCGCATTTCCCATAACATCATCAGTGTCATCCAGTACAATACTTTCGCAAGCTGAGGAATCAAATCCGCTGAGATTCATCACTTCATCGCGCAACTGGAATGCCGGATATCCTTTGACCTCCCGTCAGAAGAAGAAACTCGAGTATTACGTGGATCGTCGTAAGTCAAAAACGCCATACGATGATGAAGTCTTGTGCCGACAGATTGCACAAGAGTGCGGCTTGCCCTATACTCGTGTGAGAGTTTATTTCAGACGTATTGAGGATAGTTTTGAAAAGAAGAATCGTGAGGCGAAAGCAGCAAAGCAAAGAGAAAGGCGACGTAGGGTTGCAAATAAATACAAAACTTTTACCGGCATCATACCTACAGCTCAAGGCGAACCATCGTTCAAAAAAAGAAAGACCGAAACGATGGTTCATAAAGTTGCGAGAAAGACGAGCAACGCGTTAGGCCCTCACTTTGGGCGCAAGAGCCATCGTGAGTTAAGACAAAAGGAATTGGTCGACGGCCGGACCATCGCTGGCGAAGAAAACCTTCCGATTATCGCCGACGAAGGTAACGCAATCTTACCTTGTTTTTTCACCGAACGCGCGAACTGAAAGAATTTTTGACCTTGGTTTTAGAGCGATTTGAATCGCAGTATGAAACCTTTGTGCGGCGCCAACGACCAGTATGGAATCATCACGAGGATGAGTTGGTCATTCATTCGTATGTGATTCTTAGGGTTCGATCGCAAAAGGCAAGGTTCCTTTGGGGAGCGGTGACCAAGGCATTGCCGAATAAGACCAACGAGATGTGCCGTCGCCGATTAAACGTCTTGGTCAAAAATGCGGCTGTGCAAGAGCGCATAAATATTTTGCTGTCCCAGTGGCCAAAGATCTATAAGATTGGCGTAAGAAACGGTGATATCGTCGACAAAGATGACACTGAAATGATAGACTTTGATTTGCCCGGATACGTTGAATTTTTCATGAAGGCGTTAAAGGATATGCCAAAGTGAGTTGTTCCATTCGTTTCACGTTCAAACAAGCACCTCTATGGTGCGCTAATCGTCTTCATCATCAGTAAAAGGTGTGGTCCCGATCCTGTGATACCACTTCCTCGTGACACCAAGACGCTGGAAAGGTACTTTGTTGAGAAACACATTTCCTCTTCTCATCGCCAAGATTTATTCTTTGAAGACAAACTTGTGGGTTGTTCGCTGAGACAGAAATTCACCACACTCTATTCTCACCCATTCACCTGTCGCCTCACTCGTGAAAATTCGGTCGACTATCATACGAAATTAAACGTCAACGACAAGGAAATCCAGCTTGAATGTGTTCAAGCATTGATCAAGGTTTGTAAAAAAAAAAATAATAATAAAAAAAGGAAGAAATCTTGTGAATTCCGTGGGTTCGTAATTGAAAGAGATTCGCATATAGATGATACTTTTGACACCCGAAGATCAGTATGATTCGTCGCACGCATTTTCAATTCTCAACTCGTATCCTGATTCCCTTGTGACCGATGCCATCGATAAATTAAATGAATCCGGAGCCATTGTTCGAGTTAAAGGCGGAAATGACCGGAGAGTTCCCGGTCGAGGATATCATGTGTCCGACAGGTGAGTACATGTTCCGCGGCGTGCAACCATGGATTTGCACGGATACCCGCTAAACTATCTTCTTCACTTCATTATCAGATTCCTCTCTGTTATATCCGGAACCTTCCCGGATCGTCTGTTTTCACAAGCCGTTGCTTTCCACAAATCGTTAGTTGGATCGATCATCTTTGATCAATTCTCAAATAGTGGTGACATGGCTTGTATATTGGATCTGTTCTCTTCGTGGAAGGTAACAGTCGTGCACATATCTCGTGGAAAACCTTCATTCCGTTAACATCATTTCCTTCAATTTCCGAAGGTTTCATTGGTTCCCGCACATAAAACCGAAGACCTGTTCACCTCTTGCGTAATACCAAATCATCGAAGCCGGAAAATAGGTGAGATGAAAAGCCCTGACACCGTGCTGACCGTGCGAACCACACTAACAAAACATCGGATCACCTTGGTGTAGAACCTTCGAAACTTTATTTTGAAATCTTGATATCTCCCAAAGGGCAACTTAATCATGGAGCGATCGATGGACGTTCCCAGAACGCGGGGTCAGTCGGAACCACGGATTGTCGTCCTGCGTGTGACAAACTTCAGGAAAATGGGGAAGCTCGGTCGAATGAAGAGATGCCTTCTTCTAATGTGGACTCAGGTGGACCTCCGCGTCCAGGGATAGAGGAACAGGATGTGAAAGCTCAATCCGATGATGCTTCG